GTTTCTGATGGGGTCCATGTCCAGAGGCACTGGGTGTGGGGTCTCACCTGTTGGGTAGGGCCTCAGGCTCAGCCACTCAGATTCTATTGACCAGAGTGACAAGGCACTACATTTAGCCGTTTGGAATGGAAATCCATCAACCATATGAAGAAACTCGCACAGATACAGACAGACATCATCTTTCTATCCAAGTGCAAGAAAATGGACATCGTACCCAAAGGACTGAAAGTGAACAATCCACTAAGATCAACATACTTCACTGACTACAGTGAAAGACTCTGCCTCACACTATCCAAGAAATTAAGAAACCACCTGATAAGTATTTTATACAAGAAACAGAAAACCATCAAGAATGACATTTCTAACTTAGATCGTCTCATCTCAAGACAAACATCCACACCGACTGACACCTTGCAAGACTTTTGTTCCACCAGACAAGAAATCTACTATACACACTTCTATTCCCTACAACAAAGAAAAGACAATAAATTTTCTAACCTGCTCCATACCACTGGCTACAACAGCAACTGCCTCAACCCACCGGATAATATTGTTAACCTCTCCAGCTACAAACTCAATCCAGCAGAAGAGTCTGTCTTGTCCCGGGGTCTCTCTTTCTGCCCCACGTCCCCCACAAACTGGATACAATTTTGTGGTGACCTTGAGGCTTTTTTTCGCCGCCTCCGTCTCCGAGAATATTTCCAAACCACCACTGAACATCAATCTGACCTACCAGATCCCCCCTACCAACACCAAAGGAAAAATAATTCTATATGGACTCCCCCTGACGGTCGGAATTACAATCTGGATTTCTATATACACAGCTTCCGCAACAACGCACAGACTGACATTATTCGCAAACGACAACAAGCGACACACAATCTTAGCCGCGCTGAACACCATGCCATCCAGAGTCTCAAAAACAACCTGGACATTGTAATCAAACCAGCTGACAAAGGGGGTGCTGTGGTCATTATGAATAAGGCCGACTATAACCAGGAGGCAACCAGACAACTCTCGAACACCACATTTTACAAACCTCTCCCCTCTGATCCCACCTTGGACTACCAAAAGAAACTACACTGTCTCCTTAAAAGCCTCCCCACAGCTACTCGGGAACAAATCCTCACAGAATCACCTTCTGACCCCCGACCAGGATTGTTCTATCTACTTCCCAAGATCCATAAACCTGGGCACCCCGGACGTCCCATCATCTCTGGTATTGGCACGCTCACTACTGGTCTATCCAGCTATGTAGACACTCTTCTCAAACCCTTCGTAACCAATACCCCCAGCTATCTCCGAGACACTACTGACTTCCTAAGGAAACTACAAAACATCGATAACCTCCCCAATAATACCATCCTTGCCACCATGGATGTAGAAGCTCTATATACCAACATCCCACATGAAGACGGATTACAAGCAATTAGAAACACTATCCCAGAGGACACTACTGCCAACCTGATAGCAGACCTATGTAACTTTGTTCTCACCCACAATTATTTCCGGTTTGAGAACAACTTATACCTCCAGATCAGCGGCACAGCCATGGGTACACGCATGGCCCCACAGTATGCTAACATCTTTATGGCTGACCTAGAACAACGTTTCCTCAACTCCCGTCCCCTTTCACCCCTCCTCTACCTACGGTACATCGATGACATCTTTATGATCTGGACACATGGCCAAGAAACACTGGAGATATTCCACAGAGATTTCAACAACCTACACCCCACCATCAACCTCAGCCTGGACCATTCTACACGAGAGATCCACTTCCTGGACACCACCGTACAAATCAACAATGGAAAATTAGACACCACTCTCTACAGAAAACCCACTGACTCATACAGTTACCTACATGCATCCAGCTCCCATCCAGAACACACCACACGATCCATCGTCTATAGCCAAGCCCTTCGATACAACCGCATCTGCTCTAACCCCACTGACAGAGACCAGAAGCTTCAGGATCTCTACCAAGCATTTATAAATCTCAACTACCCACCCAGAGAAACAAAAAAGCAAATTGAAAGAGCCAGACGAATACCTAGAAACCATCTACTTCAAGACAGACCCAAGAAAACCAACAATAGAACACCACTTGTCATCACCTACAACCCCCAACTTAAACCTGTCCAACACATTATCAATAAACTACAGCCTATATTGGAACAGGATACCATACTCAAAGAGGCTCTGGGAGACAGACCCATAGTCTCCTATAGACAACCACCTAACCTCAAGATGATTCTTACCAACCACCACAGGACATACCACACTAATACCAACCCTGGTACCTTCCCTTGCAACAAACCCCGTTGCCAGCTTTGTCCACATATTCATTCTGCTGATACCATTATTGGACCTAACCAAGTGAGTTATAAGATCAAGAACACATATTCCTGCGCATCCAGAAATATAATCTACGCTATCATGTGCCGAAAGTGTCCGTCTGCTATGTACATTGGACAAACATCTCAGACACTTCGCCAAAGGATTAATGCCCACAAAACAGATATCAGACAAGATCACAAAGAGAAAACAGTTTCTTGCCACTTTAACCAGAAAGGACACTCTCTAAATGACTTAGCCACCTGCATTCTGCTACAAAGACCTTTTACATCTGCACTTGAAAGGGAATCCTCTGAACTGTCATTCATGTTAAAATTCGACACTTACCACCAGGGACTTAACAAGTCTTTGAACTTTCTCACCCATTATCAAGACAGTTTCCCCAATTATCACCTGTAATACCATTAACTCACAAACATCCCACTCTCCCTACCTTTAATATCAGCAATTCACAGACACTTACCTTCCTTCCTCCCCCTCCCCCACCCCGCATCTCCCTTCTGTTCTGCAATGTGATTTGTCCTTTTCATATGTGTTCATTTTTTTTAATTGTATCTTTTGGTATATATGGTTGTGACTATTTTCTTCCACTATTTGATCTGAGGAAGTGGGTCTGGCCCACGAAAGCTCATCATCTAATAAACCATCTTGTTAGTCTTTAAAGTGCTACATTGTCCTGCATTTTGCTTCAGTTTTGGGTCTTCCTTTCAACCCTGTCACAGAAGTGGCTGGTCTGGGGAAAGGGTCACACTCTAAATGCTAGGCCCTGTAGGGGCTTGTGAGGACATGAATGAACTGTTTGAAGGCTATTTCTTCAACAAGTTCCTGTGCAGCCCAGCATTCTGGGTGCAACCTCTGGCAGGACAGGTCTCTGACTTCACATACAACAGATCACAAGCCCACAAGTGAGCCAGAAGGTTTTAGGGGTTATGCCTAGTGCATCTAGAATGGTGGACTTCATCCACCCATAGTCCTGGGATGCATCAGTGGGGAAGCCTTGGTAGATGGGCTGGGTGAGGTCACTTAGGTATGGCACGAGGATGGCATCCCAATGTCTCTTGGGCCACCCAGCAATGGTGGCAACCCGCTCAAAGGTCTCCAAAAAGATTTTGGGATCTTCCGATTCCATCTTAGAGAGACAGATTGTCAGCAGAGTGGCAAGACTTCCCTTAGTGCCATCAGCAGGAGGATTTGTGGGTTGGGAAATTAGGGTCACCAACTGTTGCTGCTGCTGCTCATGATGTTGCTGGGCTGTCAACTGCTGCAGCAAGAGTTTTTGTTGGTGGTGGTGGTTCTTAATGAGATATTTAATAAATGGTTGCAAGTCCATCTTTCTAGTAGGTTCAAAGTGCCTGTACCTACGCGCTTTCAAAAATCCCTTATGTTAGGGGTGGGCAATGCTCACACTCTCCATTACCTATACCAACTTGGGCTGGAGTCCCGAACCCATCCCGGATCTGAGTGAGGCCTCCCTGCCTTACCATAAGCAGGCCAAACTGGTAAGCAGTCTGACCCAGACCCTGTTTAAGGGTAGGGCAACAACCAGTCCAGGTACTCAGGCCTATGCTTTAGGTCGAGCAAATAGTCAATATGCCCCAGCCTTAGCTCAGGGCAGGGCAACCACCAGTGGAGGTGCCCAGGCCTGTGCTTAGGCTGAGCAGCTGCCAGGTCTCCTAGCTCTGTTGGAGATCTGACAAGCCCAGGTGTTTTGCCCCAAAACAGGGGGGACTGCCACCCATGAGTGGCAGAAGGGGATACAGGGCCAACTGTTTCACTGGCTGACATGGCTGCCAGTAAGTCAGTGGGGACCCTGACTGCAACATGCTGACTCAGTTCATTTCTATTTCTTCAGCCAGATCAGGGTCTGCTATCCCTGGGTTACCTCCCAATTCCCCCTGTGGGCACAGTTTGCTTGGTACCAGCTCCTCTGGGTCTTCAGGGAACAAATTCTCTGGCAGGGCTTCCAGTGGGTCTGGGTCTGGGTCTGGGTCTGGGTCTGGGTCTGGGACTGTCCTTGGTCGTAGTGTTCCTGAGTAGTCTTCTTCCAGGAGGTGTGTGCTAGTCTCCCACCTCAGGAGCTCAGGAAAGGTACCTGGCTTCTTCAGCGGCTGAGGCTCAAGTGAGCTCTTAGCTCTAGCCTTTGTACTTCCATCCCTGCCGCTCTGCTTCCTGGGGGTGAGGCAGGATTGCTCTGGCCCTGCGCACCAGGGTACATTAGGGAGCTTTTCCCCTTTGGGGTCAGCAGAAGGCCAAGTTGCCTCACCAGAAGCATCCATATTACCCCACAGAGGCAAGAACAGTGATACGGCAGTGCCGCTGATCCCTCTTTTTGTATTCCGCTACACAAGCCTGGGGTCTCTTCAACTCATAGCAGCTGAGCGGAGGACCATGACTAAGGCTGATTACAAAATATGGCATATCTATTGTATTCTAAAAAATGGGGATAGAATTCTAACAGTCCCCATTTCTAGCCATACAACCTGTAAATGATCTACAGAATTTTTCTGTGAGGCATCATCTTTTTCATAATTACAACATTCAATTTCTATTTCTGGATATGTTTATCTATAAGATAGATATAGGAGGGGAAGCTATATCTATAATATATGTAGGGGGAAAGACTCATGAGAAAAATATCTTACTTGTGTCCAGATTCATGGGCAATAGTAAAAGCCAAGCCAAGTCCTGTATCTTCATTGATGGTACAGCTGCGGTATTTACTGCACATGCCACTAATAGGAGCAAAGCCTGGGGAGGGAAAGGCAGAAGAGATGTTATTTCAAAAACTGGAAGATGCATGCATCTCATTGTGCTGATTCCTTCAGGCTTTCATGAATACATGCTTATTTTGGTGCGTGGGGAAAGTTCAGTTCATGGTCATTATGGAGCACCAGAAACTGTAAATTGAACTACCTTTCATCAAGTGCTTCTACACACATCTATATATGCATACATGATCTCAATACAGCAAGAATTCACACTGCAGGTGCTGGACTACACAAGATTCAACACAGGCTCGTTTTTATTGTAGGATCTTCTACATCAGTCAAGTCAGCTTAGAAAGCCATTTAAAGACAGATCCTTTCTAAAGATCAAATGCCCTTATGGCCTAGCTATACTTTTGGCATGTAAAATGAGATCAGTGGTGGAGAAGATTCCCAGAATGCAATTGAGGTTCTAAAATATGTCCCTTGAAGGTCTCTATGGCCATCTTTTGCAGTGCTTTTAAAGTTTTTAAAAGAAAAAAACAACACCCATATAAAGTGTTTTTCGGTAGATTTAAAGCACTTCATAGTTTTTAATGGGTTTACTCTCCTAGCACCTCTATGAAGCAGGGAAATGCTTTAGCTTCTCTGCTCAAGTTCCCTACCTTTAAAATAGCAATTCTCCCCATTTTAGAGGGAGTAACTTGGGCATAATGCGGCTAAATGTCACATGCAAGGTCACCCGAGAAGTCTGTGGCAGGACAAGGAACTGAACATAGCTCTTCCAAGTCCTAGAATAGTTCCCATATGGCTGGACCATCCTTCCTCTCATTAACATGTTACTTTCCACCTTGACTATTTCTTTACCTCATCTTCAGATATTCTCCCAGCCACAATACTGTGATTTCTTTTTTTTATTAATCAAGATGCTGACAGCTGACATTCATCAGTTTTGCAGAGCATATTTTCTTACCATACCTAAAGTGTCACAGGGTTCATTTTTCCAAGAGCAGATATCAAATCCTGTAAGCAAGATGGCATGGTCGTGTCGCTTTCCATTCTTTCCAACCAAAGCAGATTGCCACTGACAAAAGCTATTTAATGACTGGTCCGCGTGATGGTTGATCATTAATCCACCCTACAGATATTTCATAGACACAGAAATAAGATGCTTCTGCCAGCAGCCAAGGAAGGTGATTGAAGGAAGAGGTGGGGGGGGAGAGGAATTACTTTAGTTGTATGACCGGGTGTGACGCATTTCCTATGACACTATGTATTTGACACATATACCTGAAATGACTATTTCAAGTCAATCAATCATAATTACAAAATGAAGCTGAAGAAACTCAGGCCCACAGACTTTTTCTAAGGCATGGATGTAAGTTAGGTGCCCAATTCCCTTTGACTTTCGAAAGGAGTTGGATACCTAATTTTGCCTTTGAAAAAATCCACAACAGTATTTCAATAGCAGGAAGTGATTCATAACTCTTAAACTTTAATTATAATGTGAATGATTTAAGGGCTTGTCCTCCCCCTTTGGAAATAATTTCCCTTGTGAACCTGTGCCCTTTTGATTTTCACTGGGAAATATGCATGAGGTTCAGGTATCTTTAGTCCCACTAGATGAAGGACTACTAAAAGCAACAGCCTTTATAAAATATTTGGGGATTCTTCAGTAATAAAAACATTGAAGTGTAAAGGGGGAGTTAATTTAAGTCCTGGTTTTATTATTAATATAACTAGGAGCAGTAAGATACAGAAAAGGTATCATAAAGGGTTCTGGTGATGCCATAAAATCTCACACTTTTGACTCTTGTGCTTTATAATACCCTAAGGGAAATTTCCTTCACATAGCATAGGCCTGTCCATATATTCCCTGTGAACATGTCAGATACATTCTGCTACAAAAGAATAATGACACCACTTACAGGCTCTTGTTCCAGAAGAAGAAGACTCACAACAATGATGTTTATGTCACTTCCTATTGTTCCATCTTTAAAAAGACTAGAAACCTGCATGAATATGTAAGAGAGGGTAATAAACAAATAATTCCATAATAAAAATAGACTAAAGATTATTTATGAGTTTTCATGATCCAACTTTCAATGACAGTCAAGAAAAACTCAGCACCTTTCACCTTTTTTCTAGCAGAAGTGCGCATGTCAGGGCTGACACATTTATTTAATATTCTATGTTATGTAACATGGAGAGGTAAATAGAGCATGATGTTTAACACTCTATGGTCAAGTCTCCCTGAACAAAAGCCAATTAAAAGAGGCTAGAATGGGATTTGGTATCTTCTAAATTATTCTCAAAACCCTCTTGTTCCTGCCCAGACCAAATAACTCATCTTTTTAGCAGAGGGAAACATGGGACATAAAGCAAACACTTTTGTCATGGGGCAAAGCAGATGTGCAGGGAAGAAAGGGGAATAGAGTACCCTTTAGTGCCCTGCATAGCCCTGCTTAGCTTGTGATTCTAGGCATACTACCCACCCTACTTACTCCCTATTTACAAGTGGATTGGGAAGTATTGGGAGCTGTGGCTTCATCTCACCTTTTCATCATCAAGAGTAGGGATGAAGCTACTTATTCCCACTTCTCCTCACAGCGGAGGTGATTATAATGATTTGAATTAGAAATCTCCTATCTGCCCCCATCAGCTATGTACCATCCTTTATACAGAGTGGATTGTAAAGCTGCAAGGTGGCCCTTACAGACATGATGTGCAATACATAACACCACTAATTTTAAAAGAAATTACATTTGCAAAATAATTATAAAGCCTCATTTCACCCACGCCACAAAACAAGGATTGGATGTCTAGGCTGGCACACTTGGACTTGCAGAAATCAAGATTTTAGTAGTGCCAACTTTCGTGAACTTATCACGAGTCTCACCGAGGTGGGTGTTTTTCTTAAAGCCCCAGCTCCTGGTTGTCTTGTAGGTTTTCCTCAGCTGTAGATGAGTAAAAGCCAACGGCACGTCAGTTATACCAGCTCTTACCATGTTCATAACTGTTAAGATATAGGTGGTTACATTGTCCTTGCCATGCTTTTCCAACATTTTTTTATCTGCCACAACAAGTGTTTCAACATTCAGACTTCCACTTTTCTGAGCTTTAACAGCCGATCTTTTAAATCGTGCTGAACTTCCATATTCATCCGATAGAATGTATGTATCCTCTGTGGGTGGCTTAGGTGTGTCTAAAGAGAAACAGAACACAGTGTTGGAAAGGATTCAAAACAGGCCATTTTTATGACTAGTTGGTTAGATAGTAAAGCACCGGGGGAATAGAACCCTAAATGAATTTGCAATATTGTGCAAGAGCCAAATATTGATTAATAGGGCCTGTAAGATGGTGAGTTCTTTCTAATACATTATTAATTAAGATTGGATTCATTTTTCTTTAGGAAAAAACCTGAATACAATAAGCAATTCAGAGGAAAGAATTAATCTAGCAAAATAAGTTTCAAGTGCTGTAGGGGAAAATACTTAGTATTTCTGCATGAACAGCTATATCCTTTTTGACCATTTTGTCACCTTCCTACACATTGCTGTACACATAACATTTGGCCCAGATTCTGCCTCCCTTAATAAGTGCTTCCAAATAGGTACAGAAACTAGATATGCTGCAAAAGCAGCATTCCTGTGCGCCTGTATTTTGACTGGCAACAGCCCTCTGTGGAGAGGCTCTGCACAGGTTCTTTTTGCTTGTAGCACAAAAATCAGAGTGTGTAAAATAATGACCATTTCTGGGTCAGAAGCCATGTACGTAAACATGTGGCCATACTTCCTGAGAAATAAAAGACTGCCATGCCTTCTGCTTGTTTAGGGAAGGGCTGCAGAATTGACCCTCACTCTAGGTTTTGAGGAAGCCAGAATTAGGTCAAAAAACCTTGGTTCCACACTCCTCCCTTTTATGGATTTGTGAAGTGCTCTGATACTTTAGCAATAAGCACCATAGAAAACCCATGAGAAAATTACTAATTCTGTTTTGTAATCAATGAATAACCTTTAGAAAAAAGTCCCGATTATCTTGGAAAAGAGAAGACTAATGAAATAGTCCATGCCTCAGTTTCTAAAGTAGTCCCTGCTGGCTGCCATTCACAACAGTCTCTGTATAGTATTTAAAAAATGGATTGACACAGAATGACCCTGGGTTTGTATAAGAAGTATATATTGGGGCTTCTTAGACTAGGGGAGATTTAGCAGGGAGGAGGAAGGAAGTAGCAGAGAGACCTGAGATATTGAAGAAAAACATGAAGTGACTGAAAATATAAAGTCTTCTCAATCTTTAAAAGGGTAATTGTCAACCAGATCAGTTTTTTCCTGCAGAATGTTTAGAGACTTTCACCCCTCTTCCTTTACTTTTCAACTTCCAATTTTCTCTTCTTTTCTTCGCTTTTCTTTCCTTCCATTCCTCGAACCCCTCCTCATTTTTTCTTTCAAAAAGGAACACTCTTGAACTCTGAACTCAAATAGGAATTGGAAAGGACATATTCCAACTGATGCAAGTTTTTCAGTTACTGTATTCAGTTGTCAGGAAGCTCAAACAAGAGGCAGATCAGCTTTCAAACAGAATTAAGAGACCTAAAGTATAGCTAAGAGGTCCTTCAGGAGTTTACAGGTTGATAGCCTAAAGAAGGATAGGATAATGTAGTTGGTAGGACAATGCAGATTCAATATGTTTTTAAAAGGTGGCTCCAAAATTTTATTTAAACAATTGACTTGAGAGGTTTTCATTGAATCATTTCAATTGCTGCGAACTTCATTGACAAATGGTGGAATTTAACAGACCTATTCTCCTTCCTTTGCCAAATCAATGATTCTTAATGCCTTTCCTCCATCTTCCACACTCACTGCATATCTCAGACTAAGGATGTGTCTAAACTACACCCCTTTTTCGATAAAAGAATATAGATTAGGCACATTGATATTGCAAATGAAGCTGGGATTTAAATATTCCGCACTTCATTTGCATAATGGCAGCTACTGCTTTTTTTTCCGAAATGGGGCATTATTTTTTGAGGAGTACAGGATCTTTCGAAATGGGGCATTTCTGTTGAAAATGCCCCTTCTAAACTGCCGGGTTTTTTTGAAAAAGCCCCATTTAAAAAAAAAAGTGGCAGCTGCCATTATGCAAATGAAACGCAGGATATTTAAATCCCAGCTTCAATTTCAATATCGCCGTGCCTAATCTACATCCCTTTATCAAAAAAGGGATGTAATTTAGACACAGCCTTAAGAGAAAATAGAGCAGAGACCTAGTACTGATAATTGCACAGAAGAGGCAATGTTAAAGCACCAGCAAGGAAAAAGGAATGGCCCATTAAAAGATAAATCACACTCAAGAAAACCAGAGCAAGGGATGTGAAGGGTAACAGGAAAGGTTTCTACAGGCATGTTAGCAATGAAAAGGTGATCAGGGAAGGTATGGGAAATTGACTGAATGAGGGAGGTAATCTAGTGAGAGATGATGTGGGAAAAGCTGAAGTACTCAATGCTTTTTCTTTCTTTCTTTCTTTCTTTCTTTCTTTCTTTCTTTCTTTCGTGGAATGAGGTGTAACGGTAGTTCAAATTAGAAAGCCTAATTCGAACTACCTACTCCGTGCCGCGTGTAGCCGCGGGCACGGAGTCCGAACTACCGGGGATTTTAAAATGGCGGCGCCCGGCAAGATGCAAATGAAGCCCGGGATATTCAAATCCCGGGCTTCATTTGCAACTTCGATTGACTACATTAACCACCCTAGTTTGAACTAGGATGGTAGTGTAGACATACCCTATGGGAAGGAGGTGGGCAACCCTCAGTGGAGAAAGAACAGGTTAAGAACTATTTTGAAAAGTTGGATGTACACAAATCCATGGGGCCAGATCTAATGCATCCAAGGGGGCTGAGGGAGTTGGCTAATATGATTGCAGAGCCATTGGCCATTATCTTTGAAAGCTTGTGGAGATCAGGGGAGCTTCCGAATGATTGGAAAAAGGCAAATGTAGTGCCCATCTTTAAAAGGGGAAGAAGGACAACCCAGGGAACAACAGACCAGTCAGCCTCACCTCAGTCCCTGGAAAAATAATGGAGGGGATCCTCAAGAAATCCATTTTGAAGCACTTGGAAGACAGGAAAGTGATCAGGAATAATCAACATGGATTCACCCAGGGCAAGTCATGCCTGACCAACCTGATTGCTTTCTATGACCAGGTAACTGGCTTTGTGGACATGGGGAAGGAGGTGAATGTGATATACCTTGACATTAGCAAGGCTTCTGCTACGGTCTCCCACAGTATTCTTGCCAGCAAGTTAAGGAAGTATGGTTTGGATAAATGGACTCTTAGGTGGACAGAAAGCTGGCTAGATTGTCAGGCTCAATGGGTAGTGATCAACTGCTCAATGTCTGGCGGGCAGTTGGTATCAAGCAGAGTGCCCCAAGGGTCAGTGCTAGAGCCGGTTTTGTTCAACATCTTTATTAATGACTTGGATGAAGGGCTGGATTGTACCTTCAGCAAGTTTGCAGATGACACTAAACTAGGGGGAGAGGTAGATATGTTGGAGGGTAGGAATAGGTTCCTGAGTGACCTAAACAAATTTAGAGGATTGGATCTGATGAGAGAAAGAAAGAAATCTGATGAGGTTCAACAAGGACTTCTGCACTTGGGATGGAAGAATCCCAAGCACTGCTCTAGGCTGGGGACCAACAAGCTAAGCAGGAATTTGGCAGAAAAAGTTGTGGGGAATTACAGTGGATGAGAAACTGGATATGAGTCAACAGTGTGCCCTTATAGCCAAGAAGTTAAAAACATCATATTATGTTGCATTAGGAGGAGAACTGCCAGCAGATCTAGAGAAATGATTATTTCCCTTTATTTGGCACTGGTAAGGCCACATCTGGAGTATTTGTCCAATTCTGGTGCCCCTCCCCCTGCCACACATTACAGAAAGGATGTGGATGCACTGGAGAGAGTCCACTGAAGGGCAACAAGAATGATTAGGGGGTTCAAGCACTTGACTTGCAAGGAGGGGCTGAGGGATTTGGGGTTATTTAGTCTTCAGAAGAGAAGAGTGAGGGGGGATTTGATAGCAGCCTTTAACTACCTGAAGAGGGGTTCCAAAGTGGATGGAGAGAGGCTGTTCTCAGTGGTGATAGATGAAAGAATTAGGAGCAATGGTCTCAAGTTGCAGTGGGGGAAGTCTAGGTTGGATATTAGGAAAAACTATTTTACTAGGAGGGTGGTGAAGCACTGGAATGGGTTACTTAGAGAGATGGAAGAATCTCCATCCCTAGAGGTCCATGCTTGACAAAGTCCTGGCTGGAATGATTTAGTTAGGGTTGGTCCTGCTTTGGGCAGGGAGTTGGACTTGATGACCTCCTGAGGTTTTTTCCAACCCTATGAATTTTGTAAGTTGAGCAGCACATTCTCAAGAAATTCTCTCACTGACTTATGGTGGAATAATAGTAGTGATGGACAGTACTAGAAACTAAAAATGCATAATCCAGCTCCTTGTATCTGCCTCCCCACCAATACCGCTTTGGCCATTTCTTCTATTATCTGTACTATTTAAAATGCTCAGCCCCAGTTAAAGCAGTGGTTATAAACCCCACTATAAAAAACACTTACAAGTCTCTAAAAACTACAATCTCAAACAAAGGGAGAAAGTTTCCTTACATACATTTCTTTCGACGTCCACAAAAATGCTGCTTTTGAAACCTTCCATGGTGGTAATCATTCGACTGATCATGATACTTGTGGTGTGTGTGATTTCTGTGATGATCAAGGGAAAAGTGATTGAAATTGGAATCTACTTTATACCGGTGCACTTTCTCCTCAGCTGTCCGTTTGTATAATACATGAGGATGATGTCCAATGGGTGATGTGTAGTTGTGTTCCTGTGCTAGGTGCTGAGGTAATGGAGTTATAAGGAATTCATTCTCCTGCATCCTTATCAAACCTGACTAAAAAAAAAAAAAGGCAAATTAAAAAAAAAAACATCATGTCTTGCAGCTTGACAACAAATATATTTATGGTCACTTGTCAGCACTAGATTTTTATTTCTTCGTAGTTGATTCTATTCGCTTAATTTTAGTGTCACTCATAGAAAAAGAAGACTTTTCACATAGTGCCAGGCTATATGCATGGTTAGCGCAGAAGAGGATCAGGAAGAATGAGATTGTTTGCATAGTGAAGAGGGGAATCAAGATGGTTCTATGAAATTCCTTTTTAAAAAAAAAATTAGCAGTAGAACATAGTGGCTACTGCTTCAGAATTGGTTGAACATGACACCTTCAAAGAAGATCTGAGCATATTCAGGTCTAGGGTATGTCCACACTGCAGAGTTTTTTTCAGAAAAACAGCCGTTTTTCAAAAAAAAACCTTCATATACGTCCACACTGCAATTGCATTATTTTGAAAAAACAATCAAAAGAACAGAAGAGGTTTTCCAGCACTGGTAAACCTCTTTCTACAAGGAAGAAGCCTTTTTCCAAAAGAGATCTTTCGGAAAAAGGCATGTGTGGAAGGGGAAGACGGAATTCTTTTGAAAGAAGAGGAAAGAGGAAAAAGCACTGGTGCCCTCGTGGCCACTCCATCCATAGAAATCACAGCTTAAATGCGAGATAGCGTCCATTCAGTGTGGACGTTACCTTTTGAAAAAGCAGATCGCTTTTTCGATGTGCTTTTGCTGTGTAGATACTCTCTTTCGGATGAAGATTTTTGGAAGATCTCTTCCTGAAAAGCTTCTTCTGAAAGAAGCCTGCAGTCTACAAGTAGCCATAGATGTGGAATGGCAAGGCAGCCAAACAATATAAACACTTCCCTAAAGTACTGCTACTCAATAGAAGTGTCATTATGATTAGGGCATTTCAGTGTTGAGGGTCCAGAGAAGATGAAAATGAGTTTTACCAACACATTTTGTATTTAGTAAGTTTTCTCCCTTGCATTGTCACTACAAGTTAAACCTCTCTAGTCTGGTACTCTCTGGTCTGGCAACATATGTGGTCCAGCATGATTTTAGTTAGCTAGATGTCCATTATCATGGGTGTGGCCAAGTTTCCCATGAAGTTTGTTTACAGCCACCAGTCCACACTCTCAGGCTGTGTCTAGACTAGCAAGTTTTTCCGCAAAAGCAATTGCTTTTGCGCAAAAACTTGCCAGCTGTCCACACTGGACGCTTGATTTTGCGCAAAAGCACTGATGTTCTACTGTCCGAAATCAGTGCTTCTTTCGCAAATGCTTTGACATTCCCGTTCAGGCAAAAGCCCTTTTCCGGAAATGTTTTTGCACAAGAGGGCTAGTGTAGACAGCTAAAAACTGTTTTGCGCAAAAAAGCCCCGATGGTGAAAATGGCGATCAGGGCTTTCTTGTGCAAAACCGCGTCTAGATTGGCATGGACACTTTTCCACAAAAAGTGCTTTTGCAGAAAAGCATCTGTGCCAATCTAGACGCTCTTTTTCACAAATGCTTTTAACGGAAAAACTTTTCCGGTAAAAGCATTTGCGGAAAATCATGCCAGTCTAGACGTAGCCTCAGTGTTCTGTGCTGTTATTTAACTCTAATTTAGCCTTTAATATTTTCTAAGAGCCTGGCAGAGTAAGCAGTGGAAGTATTAGTAATGCTGCTAGATAATATTGACCTCTCGTGGTTCAGCAAATTCTCTGGCTCATCACTGGTCACATCCTGAGGGTGCCAGAATAGAGAGGTATAACCTATAGAAGGCAAAGTTAAGTGTGTGGAGAAATAAGTTGTATTTTTTTTATATATATTAACTATGAATCAAGCTACATATTATCAGGAATTTAGGATAGGCAGCTTCTAACTGCTCAGTAGATATCAGACCTCTGATTGGCATTCACTGATGTCTTTTCCAAATACGGGGAATTAGGTATTTTGTTAGTGCCCCCCAAATAAATGTTTCTCCCTTTGTGGTCAATTACCAATTGTAAACAAACTTCCTGTCCCTCCCCCTATGCTTTATGAAATGGACTTTTGGACACAAATATACATAACTCAAAGATGCTTTGGGCAAATTTTCTCATGTAACCTATCAATCTTCATGTCATAATCCATTGGATCTCTTTACCTTCTTTTGGTGTATGTATCATTCTTGTGTGTAAAATTAGACATATGGCATATGGAATGGTTTATGGTTTTTAAATGTGCAAATGAAAGCCATCCAGGGTGATTCGAAGGCTGGGATGCCTCAGTGTCTGGGCAATCATACACAAATAGTCTTTTGTCCTTAAGTCTAAGCAGTGGTTGGTAGGGACTGGCCAGGTGACTTCCCATGCCAAAAAGGAATCTTTAAAAATAACATGAAAGTTGGCGCACTTTTTCTTTGGCTGGCACACCCAAGGTAAAGAACCAAGGACCCCAGGGTGAGGAACAGCCCTGGTTTGGAAGGCTTAGCAGGAAAAGAAACAATTTTAGGGTGTTTTTAAGGAGATTGTAATAAGTTTGTAGTGAGGATCTAGTGTTAGAATTAGATACACATTTTTTTATTATTTGAATTTATCTACTTAGCTCTGCTGTTCGCACTTATTACCTCTTAAATCCTACTGCTTGTACTTAATAAAATCACTTTTATTTTCTATCAAGCCCAGTGTAAATAATTGTTACTTGGGGGAGGAGGGGTATCCGTGTGTATATTCCCCCTTTCATTACTAAAGGGGGCTTAACTAATTAATTCCTTTGGGGTTCTGATCCCATTTGGGGAGTGGTATCCCAGGAAGGTGGGCCCTAAGCTACACTTTCCTTGGATCTGAAAAGATTCAGTGTCTGCACTGTTTCTCTGGGAGGCATTGTTCTCAGCTTGGGGCCTTGACTGGGGGTGACCAGGGAGGTGGCCCAGCAGGACCAGGCAGTGAGAAGCCCCTGAGATCAGGAAGGCAAGTGGCAGTGGCTTTGCCAGAGCTCTGGGAGGCACCCCTAAGGGTGTATCCAGACTACAGGGTTTTGTTGACAAAAGTGGACTTTTGTCGACAAAACTATGCCTGCGTCTACACTACTGCCAAATTCTGTCGACGGTAAGTCGACAGAATGCAGCAGTTTTGTCGACGGCGGTAAACCTCATTCTACGAGGAATAACGCCTTTTGTCAACAGAGTTCTGTCAACAAAAGGTGCTATTGCATCCACACTGTGCTTTTTCAAAAGACAGCATCTAGACTCTCTGTTGACAAAGCTGCTTGCTTTGTCAACAGAACTGTCTGTAGTCTAGACGCTCTTTGTTTACAGAAGCTTTGTTGACAGTATCTGTCGACAAAGCCTCTGTCAACAAAAGCCTGTAGTCTAGACATACCCTAAGTGGTCTTCTGTGACCACACCCCATCATGACAATTATTATAGATGGACAAGTGAACTGGGATTTTAATAATAATTCTTCTCTATACCACTAACTGTGAGGATCTTCTGCTTTCCAAAAGTTGCTGTGAACATAAGCAGAGATCATATTGTGATTGATTTTTTCTTAATTCAGCATAAATTCAACAAACATTCATCCTATTGTATTCAACATACTATAAGGTAGAGTCAATAACATGTCTGTCAATGAAAGAACAGGAGTGAGAAATGTATCATATAGTATTTATCTAGCTTGCTTGCCCAGTTCAATGGACTGGCAATCTTCAGACCACAACAGAACAAGGCAAAACAGTTCCCTGAAGGGGAAAGAACTGTTATTTTAATCCTTATGCTTTGTGTCATCAGATATTTAGAACTGACACAATTCACATGCCATTCTGCACACAAAGAGACCTTCCACACAATCATCTGTTATTCTGCAATGATAACTAGGCATCTGCTAACTGATTTTACAACCTCCTATTGGAAAACAGAAACATAGTAAATCTGTTTTTTATTTCCCCATTTTAAAGGTTTCCACATCTGAAATTACCCCTACAGGATTTAATAAATGATTCAAACCATATGGAATAAAGGATTTTCTACATTTTCTTTGTAAGAAACTGCCCCTGATGTACACCAAGTTTTAATCCCAAATAGAATTTCTATATTTAACATCACAAGGGTGCACTGAGAATTCCAGAAATGTGTGATGAATTGAATTCTGGCCCATGTGCTGAATTCATTTTTCTATATGATTTTCATGTGCTGTAACTAACTGCTGAATGACCTAAAAACCTCATTCAGTCAACTCTTGCAAATTTTTCTCCAGCAGAGACCAGTACTGAATCCTCAAATGAGATGTACTCCCTTTGGGCTTCAAAGTAAATCAGAAAGGATTATTCCAATTGGAAAGTGTTACGAGGAATGAATAACAACTACTTTATCTTTTTCTGACATCTAATTTCATGCAGTTTTGCAGCTCAGATCAGTCTTTATAAGATAGGTCACTGGTTCAAAAAAAACGTAATTTTTCATTTCTGCAATTTATGAGTAAGATTCCAGTATTCAGTAATTGATCCCTAATAATTCACAAAATATTGACTCAGATCTCTCTTGCATGGAGAGCCACAAACTGGACTGGACAGTTGTTTGGACTGTCATTGTAGTTACAGCTCCTTGAAACTCAAGCAGCATCTACTTTAGCTTCAGCCCTGGTGAAAATTAGAGCAGCATACGGGCTGTTCAACCTTGTGTTAGTAGGTTATGGTTGTCAAAGGATATGTTCCACTTGAGAAAAGAGCATAGATGCCTTCCCTAGACGTTTACACAATTGATATGATCCCTTATGCCAGGGTTAGGGTGGGAAATTGGCTAAGCTAGCTTTATACCATCTGAGATATTTTCATGTCAGAATAATTTCCCACAGGAATAATTGAGACCAGGTGCTAGCCTCCCTGCACTGCCAGAGCTGTGCAAAGGGAACAGAATGGGGAGAAAGAAAATAGCTCAATCTCTTTCCTAACTTAGATTTTTTGCAAAAGATCTGTGACGTTTCAGTGAAGTCACAAATTAAGTATAGTACAGGCAGTCCCCGAGTTACGCGGATCCGACTTATGT